AACAGTTTATAGGGGCCGATCACTTTCAAAGTCTAAAAAGCTGTTTCAATAAAATGAACATCAACAATTAGAAGATTGCTATTCACTTTCAAGTTGACCGATGATTCGAAGCCCATCGCACATTTCTTCATCTTTGATTCCATACGCCACCATTTTATCTTTAAACTTTGATGATTTATAATAGATTTGAAAGAAGATGGAAACTAAAACATAATTAATACTGCAGTAGACTTCCCTGAGCTTCTTTTTTAATTTATTACCATCATGAATAGTGAAAGGGTATTTAATGATTCTATCTTTCGTGGTTCGAGCAATGGTTAAGAAAATAAGGAGTCGCAATATTGGATTTTTTGTATGATTTAGCACACCATGTAAGATCTAAAATATATTTGGAATTATGAGTAAGAATAATGAATACGGATTATAGTCATTCATACCCCACAATAATCATGCTTAACCAGATGCATCTTAAGATCGTCAATCTGTGCGATATGAAGGAGCATCCTTGTTGCTGATTGAAAAAGGAACGTAATTGACTAAAATGAATTATTACTAATTAGCTGTGTGTTTTATTCAGACATGATAAAAAATTCGAACTTCATTTGTTTCCAGATTATCTAGATAGGAAATTAGTGATAAACTGGACATAAGCAATGGAACAATACCAGCGTTGATAGCATTCTAATTAATTGGTACAAGACGAAACCCAACATAGTGCCTATAATATTCTCGGTTTAAATATCGTGATGAAGCACTTACCTGACATATTGTTTTCGAAATACCCATGAAGGTCTCAAGACTATTCAAGGCACAAGTAACTGCTTGATGAATATTCCTACAATAGAGTCTTTCATCATTCTTCGTTTTGATGATCCTCACACAAAGATCGACAAGACTTAAATACGATTTTTTTTCTTTTCTAAGAAATTTACCAGCAAAGTTTTTATCCGCCAGTTTTGTCAAAAAGACAGATTGAACATACGGCGATGATTGAATCGCATTGTATGTGTTGTAGATGTAGTAGAAATACTGACAAAAATTGTTTATGGGAATCTTGTCAAATATTAACATAATCATTGTTTCATCCAAAACATTGTCAAGCTGGAAAAAAACACAATTATAGTTAAATAATATTTTTATTATTTCTGTAAGTACTTCTTTCAAGCGACTTCTGTATCTGATAGCATCTATTTTACGCATTATCTTGTTCTAAAAAGTATGAAACATCATTTTGGAAATGTGTAATGATTTTACTTTAATCTCACTGTAGCATGATTTGTTTGAATGTCTAAAAGAACACTACAGATATGTTCAGAAACTTCAGTACTAAATTGTTCAACTCACTGTGCATTGCTTGGCGTGATGTACTCAACCAACGCAAGACTAATATAATTACGAATAATACCACTAATACTGAAGTGAAATGAATTCTTATCAAGTCCAGTCTAGACTTTTTCACGATTTCATAAATTGCTTCATCAATCATCTTTGTAAAATTGTAATGAACACCATTGAGCATAAAAGCTAAGTTATGATTACCATGTATTTCCATTTTGTTGTTGAATTGAGACCTAGACCACGCGACACCCATAATAGAGGCAGAACTTAAGTATATATCTATGTAAATAAGAGCAGATAAAGATTAAATGGATTTGATTGTATGCCGAAGTTTTGCTTGAAAAGTGAACAAAATCAAAGTTCAGTAAGGACTGTCAAACTAATCGGATAGTCAAGGACTGATTGATATAACAGATGAATAGCATAGAAGGTTTTTGCTTACTTGGATTCTATTCAGTAACATACATATATATTCATGATGAAACGTTCTTTCTGAGATAATTTAAAACGTTTTTCTAATGAAATCGAGACAGCGAATGAATATTTTTCCTTTTCGACATCACAATCATTCACTGCTGTCATCATTTAGTTATTTGACTATTCTGAGTAAGCGTTAAGAAAAATTTTCCAAAACTTTCTGCTTTCCGAAGGAAATTTAAAATGATAAAATTTATCAACACCAGAACTATTTATAGTTTGCATGCATATAAATTCACATATGCTATGTTGGTACAAAATATGATGCACCATGTTTGCATGCTGATACGCAAAATATAGAAGATAGACTATGACAATTTGTTAAAAATAAATTCTTATTACAACTTTCACACAATTTCAATTACTAAAGAACTATTCTTGGTGAAGTTGAAATACTATAGGTTTTTGAAAGCTTTTAAAATTTCGATTAATTTAGCGCAAATGAAAAGTACTGAAAATGATCTATACTGAATAATAGGAATCTTCAATTGTAGAATGTTTCAGCTAATTTTTTGATTTGTTCTCTAAACTCTTGTCAAGATATCGATTAATTAGGTACTGTTTCTGGTTTCTCATAAACATTAGACAGATAGAAAATGTACATTTTCTATTTTCTATAATGAATTCGTTGAATATACTTTACGCACACAACTCTATATTTGAGCATATTATTGCATTGAAATGAATGCAAAGAAAGATAGCATAAAGATATTTATGTGACTTTTTGTGTAAGGATGGTATTGTGAAACGATTTGCTGGAAAGTTGAACTTATTCGTTTATGAAAATTTCGTGATTCATTTAGTTTCTTTCCCTGGTCAGAAAAATACAGTTTGCATGATCTATCTGAACATTTGCTTTACAGAATCTATTTGCAAATACTTTTTTATTAAAGTATTATCTTTTATATCATCCTCATCATTATGAGCAAGGTGAACCGATCAAATTTTTCTTTTCTATCATTGTTTCATGTTATGTATATATTCTAACTTTATATATACATCTTCATGGAAAAGTGAATGAAAGAATGAAAATGATTAAAAAAATTGATAGCTATAAAATAGAACGACCCAATTAAGCTATTTTTGTTCAAAGATCAATTGTAAAACTTTTTATTGAGTAATTAAGAGTACCTTCGAATAAAATCAAATGTCTATATCCAAATATTTCACCTCTATCGGATGATATATATTTTTAAGCCAATTATGAAAGAAGTCGAAAATTTCAAACTAATTCGTATGACAATACCTCTTCACAATCTCTCTAGGATAATGGATCACAATTCCTTTAAATGATTTGTGATTTATCTTTTTATAAACTATAAAATATAATTTATTCATAATTCTGCTAGACTTTAGAGTTAATACATAAACAGTGTTCATGCGCATCTTTTGCGGAAGTAATATTCGAGGGCATTGTCATAGAATTACGAATCGTATGACGACGAAGACAGCGACAACAATAAGTAGTAATATAAATAAAAATTATAGAAACAATTAAAGTAAAAACAAGCGCCGGTATTGGAATACTGTCAAGAAACCAATGGCATTCTTTTTCTGAGTAATTCTGCGGAGTATGAATATATATAGTATTATTGTCTCCAATAATTGAGTATCGATTTCGGATACAATTAAGGTGCATCTACAAGAAAAAAGTTTGTTTTATTCGATCTATATTTGCATTGTTTTTATTTATCATGCATACACTGAAATTGTGCTTCCTTTTTTCTGTGGATCATATAGATAGTGACCATCTATTGTTACTGCGTTAACTTATTTTTTCACAGGTCATTTTTTTTTCGTTCTGTATTTGACCTTTTTTATGCACGCTCATTTTGGCCGGACGCGCCGTTATTTATCGTTCAAGGAGAATGAAAGGAAAGAAAAGAAAGATTATTAAAAAAGAAAAAGCAATCGCTAAGACACGTTCATCAATCTTTTTTGTTCGAACAATCAGATATAACTTTGTATAAATATAAACAGTCTAGTGGAATCAGAATGCTGCCTGTGGCAAAGTGTTTGATTGATTTCCCTATTCGCTTGATTTATGTCTGTACTAGGATGCAAAATAATTATGCACATTGATTGAATGAAAATGAAAAAAACACCTAATTATATGGATGTAAAAGCTGATAGAAGTTAAATTATTCTATCATTTTTTATTTTCTATACGCCAATTATACAATAATCACATTCTCTATCCAGAATAGAGAACCAAAAAAGAAATATAAAGATGTGAATTGATAAAAAAAAACATGCATTAAAAATGTAGAACAATTGAAAAGGCTTCAAACAAACTAAACGCTTATAAATAAATCCAACCTAAACGATTTGATAATGATGAAAATCGTCAATATTGTGATCAGGTAACACTAAGTTGTTTATCAGATTTGAACAATGTACGTGCTTCTCCAATGCCCGAATGTAAAGCTAAGGCAAGGCCATCTAATCTCTTATTTAGCTCAGTTGTTCCAGACAAGCTAGTTGATATTTTTCTACGGATACAACCATATAAAACCAAGAAACATATCGACAATATTGTTATACAGACGATATATGTCAACCTAAGAAACAATGCTAATATTAATAAAAAATGCAATTCGTATTCGTCGACATAAATGAATGAAAAAATTTAGGTGCTGATTTACAACTTCCTTTTTCTCTAGATTTTTGTTATATACATTTGTTTCCTCAAGGATTGAGACCATTATCAAAAAGATTAACTATATTCCACTAATAGAGTTTTAATAGAATAATCATATTCATGAATTTGATATCAAAGAAATCCTCTTTTTTCCTTTTCTCTCGGCTACTGTAATCGATCGACGATGGTTTTTTCTTTTTATATTATATCATTTTCGATTTGTTCAACTAATTTTTCCTTTCGTTTTACTGAACATGCGATTGATGCATCAGCTATTCGCTACGTGTGATTCATAATTCTTTCCTCTTTCTCTTGATATCGTGGATATGTCACAAAAAAGAACTGATATTTAGAATAAAATCAGTCGTCAACGCATTTTCAGTAGATGTATTCCTGACTTGTGTAAATAGATTATAAATGCGATAGGAAAATCTCTATATCTAACACTAATCAAGCAATGCTCGATATGGTTGACTAACGAAGGGAAAGTACCACAATGGTTAGGTATCCACAACGGATTAGTTTACATTTCATAGCAAATATTTTACCAGTTATCCTGCATATGATTGACCCATTCAGCAGGAGCAGATATCATATCAGCAGCACTTTCTGCTACTCTGCCAGTCTGTTGACCAATTTTACGCATAAGTGTTTCTTCACCTATCCTTTTTGGATTGAGACCAATATGAACGATATTGTGCGATCCTTGAATCTCAGGGTTATTTTCGGAGCCACCAATATTAAAGACTCCACGTTTTGATCTTGTAAGAAATGTTGAATTAATGAAATTAGGTGCCATGATAAGTTTGAAAAAGTATGAACGAATAGTTGTGGCAATCAACAAGAAAATGTGAGAAAAGAATGTTTGGCATCCATATTTATAGGGAACAATCTGTCTACAATAAGATCATCATCTGTCTTTTGTTATAAACAAAATAAATAATCATGTTCATAATGCATCACTATTATATCTTTCTATGTCTAAACAGCAGTATCACTTGAGAGCTCAATCGAAATTTCTTTTAAATGGCAAAAAACTACATCATTTAGTTTTTGTTCATCCTCCGACCGTATCTTTTACATTGTCTTTAAAGATGGAGCACTAATACTGAAACATGTAGTAAAAATGCAGAATCAAGCCATATTTTTTGTTTGAATAATCAAACAAATGTTGTTTTCACAGTTTTTAAGATAATGATCACCGTCATTAAGCTTTCCAAAAAGTATACTCAATTATGGATCGTTTTACTGAATGGACAAAGAGAAAATAGCTTATTGAGATGTACTTTAGTTCAAAGTTACTACTTTTCTAACTCATAAAACTATCACAGTAGAGAATAGTCAAGTTAAGCGATCTTAATAATGATGAGTGAAAAATTCAGAAAAATAAAGTCCTTGATTATTTTTAAAAAGACCTTCAATTTTTGAATCTAAAGTATCCAAAAACATCAAAATTCGTCATTGATAACCCTACAGGCAAAAAAACCAATTTTCTTAAATCGCAACTACAATTTTTCACACTACAAAGATTCAATGTTTTGAAGATAACCGATTCAACATTTTCAATACTCAATTCTTCAACGGTAAGAAAGAAATCCAACACTTTTCACCTTAGAACATTGTATATTTTCAGCATCAATCATACATGATCTTTTACACTAAATACTTCATAGTTTTGCAATAACAACTATACTCTTTCACATTATAAAAACGAATCTTATGAAAGTGAATAATCTATCGAACTAAATATGAAGTTATTCATTATTTTGAAACAACAATCATTGTTTACCTTATTATAAATAAAATCCTATGATGATGAACAATCTATCGTATTCAATATGAACGTATTCATTATTTACAATAAAAAATCAATATTTTCGTTATAATAAAATAAAATCCGATTACGATAAATCAACTGTGATATTCAATGTGGACGTATCCATTATTGTGAATAAAAAATCAATATTTTCTTTATAATAAAAGAAAAACCTATGATGATGAACAATCTATCATATTCAATATGAACTTATTCATTATTTTGAAACAAAACTCAATATTTTCTTTTTTAAAATATAAAAACGTATCACAATGAATAAACTGTCATATTCAATATGAGCTTATACATTAATCTGAATGAAAAGTCAATTTTCGCTCTTTTTATATAATAGAAATGTATGAGAATGAATGATTTATGATATCCAATATGAAAGTATAGATTATTTGTAAAGAAAATCATTATTTGCTCTTTCGTGAATAATAATACTTGAAAATAACCCCTTGAAAGTTTGATCTTTTATGATGACGGCTTTTTAGAAAAGGGTTTATAATTAACTCAGAACGAAATATGTATCATAAGATTGTCACTGTCATCATTATCATTATCATCATCATGAATACAACTTTATTATTTTTCTTTCAATTCCCGCTGTGTGTGTAATATCTGTATCAACATATATAGGCATGTTTATGTAACGGAGCGGAAAAAATTTGTTCACAGAGCGAGAACAAGATAGTGAGGTCAATTGATGATATTTAAATGTGTCGGAGAATTGATACATGAAAGAAAATTCTCTCTCTTTAGGCTTATCGTTCGTAGCTAATTGTTCATCTTTTCCTTCGCTGTTTTACAATCTCTAAAGATGTACGTTTAATTGTTTTTGTGTGATTAAAATTCACAAGCACTGGTTTATAGCTAATTCAAATGACATGCTGTTAGATTGAACTTTTGGCCACATACTTTCGCAAAAAAAATAATGAAAGGACTTTTTCCACAGACAGTGTGTCGCACGTTCTTATCCTGATATACTGTCAATCTATTAGTCAAGGTTATGTAACGGAGCGGAAAAAATTTGTTCACAGAGCGAGAACAAGATAGTGAGGTCAATTGATGATATTTAAATGTGTCGGAGAATTGATACATGAAAGAAAATTCTCTC